CCACTGGTGCTGTCTCCGTCTCTCTCAAAATAAATACACTATAAAAAAATTAATAAAGCTCAGAAACTGCAAGGGAAAAGAGTGAGGTGTGTGTAATCTTTACTATTGCATCCAAATCACTTTACTCACTAGGTTTCAAACACTACCACCGTTAATGGTGGTGGGCTTGGAGGTAAGCAAGTGATCTGCACACATTTACGAAGCTTAACAAATTGGTAAAAACCCGCGGAGCTTGATAGCTTCGAGAGTCTTCCTCATTTTACATTCAGGATCTCTAGGAATGAGGGTAGGGGTGGGGAAGCCCTCACCAGAAGGAATGCAAATACGGACAACTGGGGAAACAGAGAAATTGGCCTCGGATCCTGTCTTCCACTATCCCCTGGGGTGAAAACCGAGGAAAGAAGGCCCAGGAAGAGCCCTCAGCGGACTGCCTCTTCCCGGTCCCAGAGGCATCTCAACCTGGCCCAGAAAACAAAACGCGTGCCTTTTCCACTTGGATCCAGAGCTGTCTCTGCGAGAGAGACGGCGCTCCCTACGGACGAGGCCGGAACACAGGGCAGGGACATGGACCCTCCACCCCGTCGGGGGGCGGTGATGGCGCGAGGAGCCGGGGAACACAGCTGTACACATCCACCTCTGTCCCCACCCGTCCACCCTGGCCGGACCCACGTCTCACCGTGAACCCCGGAGACGTCTGGGGGTGCTGGGGCAGAAAAGGGAGGTGACTCTTGGGGGGAGGTGGCAAAGGGCGGCGCACTTGGACCCACACCCTCTGCTCATCACAACCTTGATTGAGCGCACATCTGTGAGTCCCACAGAAGCCGGAAGTGCGTCAACACTTGTCTTTCAGAAGAGGGGTCCTCTCTAGGAACGCGGGAGGACTGTGGCCTTGTTCCCCACTTGACGGCCTTGTCCGGCTTTGGGGATCTCTCCCCTTAGTTCAGCTTTTCCCAGCCTGGTAAAGGGGGCTTAAGTTTCCTTTGCTACCATTCTTCTCAGATACTTCTGTTTCTCCTTTTTCTTACTGATGGCAATAATCCTAAGAATTCTAGTTATTAAACCATATGACTACTTAGTGATTTTGTGTGTCAGAGGAACTGAAACAAAAATGTAAAGAGAAATATCAAAGTGAAGTCAAGAATGAATGGTTTCACAAAACCAAAGTCGTTGCTTCTCTGGAGACCATGATTACGTACTGTCATTTGAATGGGTAGTAGTTTCAAAAATTTCATCTATGGGCAATAGACATTCTTTCCAGTACTAGACAGTTAAGATTCTGAGCTTGGCTAAAATTACCAGGGAGTTTTCGGCGTAATAATAATGGAATTGCTACAGTTCATCGAATTTTTTAAATTAAATTTTTAAAATGTTTATTTATCTTGAAAGACAGAGAAAGTGTACACGTGCGAGCAGGGGAGGGGCAGAGAGGAAGACAGAGAGAATTCCAAGCAGACTCTGCACTACCAGTGCTGAGCCAAACACGGGGCTGGAACTCACCAACCATGAGATCATGACCTAAGCCGAAATCGAGTCCAGATGCTTAACCACCTGAAGTCACCCAGGCATCCCCAGTAAGTCGAATTTTGCTGTCAAAATGTTACCACAAGAATTATGGCTTTTACCATTGTTTTAAGAGTAGGTCAAGATACCTCACCTTCTATAAAACCGTAACTGAGACCTTGAAAGACTGACACACTCTAAATTCCAAGACAAGTCTGAGCACAACGGAAGACCCACAAAAGGAACAGCCACATGCCACAGAGGGTACCAATGACTAGGTGATACTCTGAGTAACCTTCCAAGCCCTAAATAATATCCCATTCTCTTTGATCTTGCTGATATTGTCACTGTTTTCTTTCTACTTCCCCATGACTCTTCAATAAACCACTCGAGTAAATCTTTGCTCCTTCATCACTGACTGGCTCACTAAACTACGGTCCTCCTTAAAGACCTCTTGGTCCTAGAACTTCTACATACTTCCTCAAATCTCCTTCCGGTGTTCCAAGTTGTCTCTAAGAGCCATTACATGGTTATACATTGTTTTTCTTCTTTGTCTAAACCCTGCCCTTTCCCCTTTGCCCCCAAGCCCCATTCCTACACTAAAGTACTTACAAGGTTCAGGAAGATAGGTTATTGAATGCAGACAGCTGGGTATGTTTTTGTATTTATGTAGTGTGTGTGGCAGGGACTGTGGGACCTTTATAATTACTCCATTCGTTGCCTACTGATCTACTGGCACAAGGAAGACAAGGTCGCCTGGCTTCCAGTTCACTGGAACATTTAATATATCTTCTAGAAATGTTCTTCCTGAGAATCAGAACCATAACCCAGAAGACTCTAGGTTTGAAGATAGGAAGCACAAATTCCACCAGTGAGTTACTGAATATTATAGTAATAGGGGCCACTCCTGTTCCAACCTGTTGGTTTCTATACCCAAGTAGTCTTTCTATTGGAGACACAACACCATATATGTTATTGGTTCAATGCATATCATTGCATATACTGTATCCTGGAGGACAGCTCCCCAATTTTCCAAGGTGTAACTTAGCTGTGTCTTCAACATGCCATTCCATAGTTCTATCAGGCTAGCTGCTTCTGGGTGATGAGTAAGAACCATGAATTCTGTGATTACAAGTTCATTGTCAGACCTCCTTGACTATAAACCGGATTCCTTGATTTAAGGTAGGTCTAATGGATAAGGCATTCTACAAACCCTCAGATGATGGTGCCTATGGAGACAAAGCAGTCAGAGAAGACAAACCTATATTTAGAACATGTATCAGTTCTGTAATATTTTACTTCTTTTGTATCTATTCATGCCTACTGTAATGGTGGACATATGGGAAAAATTAATGAAGTGCTCGACCCTTGGGAACCCTAGTAATAGGGGCGCCTGGGTGGCTTATTTGGTTAAGTGTCTGACTTCGGCCCAGGTCATGATCTCATAGTCCGTGGGTTCGAACCCCACATCAGGCTCTGTGCTGACAGCTCGGAGACTGAAGCCTGCTTTGGATTCTGTGTTTCCCTCTCCCTCTGACCCTCCCCCACTCATGCTCTGTCTCTCTCTCTCTTTCAAAAAAAATAAACATTAACAAAAAAGTAACATAGTGTAAGATAAAAATTACAAATTTTGTAAGTTGGTTAACTGTTGCCACCTCTGTCATCTGAAGAACTGCTGAAAGAAAATTTTGCTCAAAAGCAAAATAATAGTCTTAAAAAAAATTTTTTTTTAAGTTTGAGAGAGAGCATGAGCAGGGAAGGGGCAGAGAGGGAGAGAATCCCAAGTAGGCTCTGTACTGTCAGTGTGGAGCCTGACATGAGGCTCGAACTCACGAATTTTGAGATCATGACCTTAGCCAAAACCAAGAGTTGGACGCTTAACTGACTGAGTCACCCAGGCACCCTGCAAAATAATAGTCTTACCACTCTTTGTTAGGGATTGATGTCTACTGGAGAGAAATGGACTTCTAAGAGAGTGCCTCTTATTGTCCTCTTACTGGAGCAAACTGCCTGAGTCAGCTAAAACTCAAGACACAAATGCACCACTGCCATAATTTGCTAATAAGGTACAACTTGTGGGGAAATGGCAACTCAGGAAAGAACTCCAAACTTATAGCTATCCTAGAATATTAGAAGAGATGTTAATGAAAAGAAGAAATAATGTGTCATCTATTTTCCCAGGGACCTCAACAGGAACAACGGGTATCACTAGGGAGTATATTTCTGTTCAACACAAGAAGTTTCTAACTTGCTGTACAGCAAGCAATTGACTAAGCAGTGCATCTTCTGTGATGCTGACTCCCTTGCACCGGATACCGTAGACTAGAGAGATTGTGTCACAGTAGAAAGCTGCATTAGGTCAATGACACTCAAAAAGGAAAGAAAGGGTAAGCAGATCAGAACATCCCAGAGACTGATGTAATTTGAAAAAGCATATACGATGCCACACTTTTTTGTGTGTGGATTTTCTTATATTTAATTTGAAGTATCAAATATCACTAAAGGATAATAGTTGATTTGTAATCTTAAAGAAGTAATATCTAAAGGCCCTTGCGAATCCCCTTTTTTATTCTTTAAGAGCCTTGCCAGGGGCACCTGGGTAGCTCAATCGGTTAAGTATCAGACTCCTGCTTTCAGCTCAGGTCATGATCTCAGGATTCATGAGATGGAGCCGTGAGATGAGCTCTGACCACGTGGAGCCTGCTTGCAATTCTCTCTCCCTTTCTCTCTAAATAAATATTTTTAAAAAAGAAGAAAACTAAGAGCCTTGCCAGTCCCTAGCAGATCCAGTTTCACCATAAGACATCACATTCAGTAAGGATCCAGAAGGTCACAATGCCCTCGGTACTTCTGTTCTAGCGCCTGGCCTGCCTGTCCGTGGGCTCCGCGCTTTACTTACCCCAGTTTCTGTATAGTCCAGTCTCTCTCCCCGCCCCCCCCCCCAGGAACGCAGCTCTCTTCCAGTCTCAATTTCTCTAAGAAACTCCTAACTTGCTCAATGCCCTGTCCCTCGGCCCAAAACATTAATGGACTCCGATCCCACGGTTTTCTGTGGTCCTCATACCACCCAAGAGCCTTCCATTCTCGCTTTAATCAGTGTATTTCGTACCCCTGTACTAGTTCCCCACCTGCTGACTTACAGAAGCGGGACCATTACGTCTGCCCCTCCACTCCCGGAACACGCACGACGTGAGCGGGCCACTACCCCGCGAGGACGCTTTCCCAAACCCGGGGCTGTCCTGGTCATTACTGGTACAATGGCTACAGAGGTTGCCGGCGGGGTCAGCACGGACGAAGGTCAGGGCCAGAGAAGTAAAACGAAGAGCCCAGCACTCGCACGTCCCTGGTACTTACGCCACATCCGGGGCTCTCATCCGGGGCCCTCATCCGGGGCCCTCACCCAGGGGGCCCTCATCCGGGGCCCACCTTCCGCCCACGGCCACGGGACTCCGCCTCCGGAAGTGCCACTGAGAAGCGCCGGCCTCCAAGCGGTCTAGAGCGACCCCGGAAAGCCCAGGGCTGCCCCTAGAGCGAGGGTGTCCGCGACGGGACGGCCGCTCGGCCTGCCCCTCCTTTCGGGTGAGTTCCCGGTAGCAGTCCTGGGGTCGCGGCTAGGTTAGGCTCCCGGGGAGGAGGAGGAAGCGCCCGGGAACTCGGTCGACGGCGGTTCCCGTCCCCAGAGCGCTCCAGGGCGGGCGGGCGAGGGCCTGTTTTCCTTCAGTCAGGGTTCGCCCTGACGCCCAGCGAACCGATGGCCCCGCCGCCAGGACCCGGTGACTCTGCCCTGGTGTGAGCTGGGTTTCTGTGGCCCGCCCTCGCCCTTTTGGGATCGCGTCTTCTCCTGACAGGGAAGCGAGAGGAGGGCAGCGCCGGGCGAGGCCTTCTGAGGACTGGGCGCGAGGGCCCTTTCTGAGGGTTGTGGAAGCGGGACGGAAGCCTGTCGCGTCCTTGGCTTTGAAGGACGCCGGCCAAACCTGTTTGAAAACCGCAGCTCTTCCCAGGGTTACTGTCGGGCCAGCCGGAAGCGGCCTGCCCACCTAGGCGAAGGGTCTGACCCCCCTGAGTGGAATTTTGTTATTAGTCAAGCCCGTTTAATAATTCAAAGTGCGCTGACCGAGCGTTTACCAAATAATTTCTCAGGGGTCTGCTGAAAAAATAATAAATAATCATAACTGGCATACTTTTCTAGGTACAAACTTGAGCCTTGAAAGAAGTTTGCGTATTTTAAATATTTTAAACTTTCCACAGAACTCTATTAAGTTGTACTTTCTTGTTTGTTTGTTTGTTTTTTCTTGAAATATCACAAATTCTGAATTGGTGGAGAGTTTAAATAAACCATACTTGGACCATATGGTTTGGTTCATAGCTATTTGAAACGGAAATTTTTCCATTTTTTCTTTCTGTTGTTTTGTTTAGGTGGGTAAATCATTTGTAGCTGTTTTTGTGGAGTATCTACAGCGTGTCAGATATTTTGCTCAGTCCGGAGGATGTAAAATAATGGGCCGTCTTAACTTGTTACAATAATTTTTCCCAATCTCACCCAGCAGTGATGATCGTTGTCCTCCAGAACAGGGATGGAGGAAATACCGGCCCAGGAAGCAGCAGGATCAGCAGTTGTCCAGTTTCAGTCTTTGGGGAGCCAGTCTGAGGGTCTGTCCCCAGAGCCTCAGTTCGCGCAGGACACCGACATGGAGCAGGAACTCAACGGGGGTAAGGCAGAGAGAGCCCTTCAGTCCAATTGAATGGGAGTTGCAGTGGGGCTCCCGGGCCTGGAACTTAGGAGGCCAAGAACTTCGATAAGAAGATGGCCCCCAGGGTGTCTGGAAGGGAAGGACAGACGTGACTCAGTTCAGTCCTGGTCTTGGGCTCTTATATTAAGGACAGCCTTTCTTTCTTTAATAGGCAGAGTGGTGGCATTCACTCTGCTTTAGCTATTTTTCACTCGTACAACCTTTACTTTATCCCAGATTCATTTCTAGGATAACGCTGCTTTTACTGCCTCTCAGAATCCTCGCCTCCTCGCTTTTACTTCCTCTTAGGTTTAGGGCCCATCTCTCCCCCTGTTCCTTTCACTTAGTTTCTTCCTTCCTTGATGACTTTGCGAGCTTTGCCACCTGCCATTCTGTTGCAGCTGCAGTGTTTGTGACTAATCTGATTTTGGCCAAAAAAACCAACCATTTAATTCCTTGGTTGAGCACAATGCGTGTACACACATCACATATTGACTCTACAGTAACATCTTTATGTAAAATCGTATAGATAGGTTGATATGTCTGGTACCTTTTTTTGTTTTGTAAGAACCTTCTCTGAGATTACATGTGGCCAACTGCAGTGCCTGAAATAACTTACGTGTCAGCAACTCACACTGCGAGTGTCACGGTGTGTAGAATGTTGTGGAAAGGATGGTGAGGAAACAGGTGACCATTCTTTATTCTTGGGAGCCTTACATGCTGGTCGTAGAGACAGTGCCAGTTCACATAAAGGCTTAACGAAATTTACAGAACAGGGTCTGGGAGAGCGTCAGAAGCTGACTAAATAACCACTGTCCTGGACGAGTCACTGCAAGTCTTTATGCTTTGCTTTGCCCATCTGCAAAACAGGTATAGTGCTTACCCTTCTGTTAGAGGAATGTCCTGAGAATAAAGTGAGATATCAGATTTCTTAAGAAAATCCTGTATCAGGTCTAAATGTGGGTAAGGAGGGCATTCCAGTGCTGAGAAGGAGCAGAGTAGACGCACTCAGTACCTGATAAATGTTGATTGGTGTTACTAGAATGTTGATGTACAGAAGGGTCCCACTGACTCCCTCTTCTGTCAGGGAGCCCTGGGGAAGGGCTGCTCTCACTCTTGGCTCCTTTCTCCTCCCTCAGCTCCACCTGTTCCCCAGGTGCCTGCTCTTCCCCATGAGGGAAGCCCAGGAGACCAGGCAGCCACGCTCCTGCCAGCCAGGTACCAGGTGAGCTGAGGAACCCTCTGCTTTTCCTCAGGGACTGTTGCTACTGATCGAGTGTGGCCCTTCCCTCAACCCATCCGTAAACCCTGCCTGAATTTTTTTTTCAATAGCAGACCCCAATTTGGAAATTGATCCTCTTCAGAAACCTGGACTTCACACAAACCACCTTCCCATCTCCCCACCACCACCAGTAAACACTGTTCCTTCTCTATCCCTGGTGCTGTGATGGGCGTTTATTAGATATTAAAGGTTATGGAACTTATTCCCTAGATTCTAGTCTCTTCTCCCTCCTCCCCAGCTTTGCTACACAGTGGACACCCTCTTTGTGTCATCTCCTTCATTTTCTGGCCATGATGCTCTAGTGGCCTCATTCCCCAGCGCAGCCAGGCTGTATTATTTCAGGAGTTTGTGACATTCGAGGATGTGGCTGTGCACCTTACTCGAGAGGAATGGGGATGCCTGGACCCTGTTCAGAGGAATCTCTACAGAGAAGTGATGTTAGAGAATTATGGGAACGTGGTCTCAGTGGGTAAGGACTTTCTTATTATTCAGTTTACCTTTTAGGATTTCTTTCCTTCCTTGGTTTCTGAGGAGGTGTGAGGTCTCTGAGAACGTAGAGTGTGGCTCAGATTCCAGGTCTTAGAACCTCTGAATCCTCCATCTTCAAGGTCATCTCTGGGAGTGGGTTTTCTTTGGGGGTTTCAAGATGAGACGTTTTATTCCTTATTTGTAATTAATGATTGCTGCTTTTGTGGGACATCTGTTCCCTGTTAGAAAAGGGAAACTTGCTTGTGCTTGGCTTAAGTTCTTGACTTCCCTATCTTTTCTTTTTTTATGAGAGGGACCCTAGAGCCTCCCAATCCACAACCACTTTCTTTCTTGGTAATTCATTGTCTCTGTATCTGAAAGCTTTCCATTTTCTTTGGAAAAAGAAATGCTTTTTTTTAAGATAGGCTAAAATCCTTGTTGAATAATCCCTCACCTCTTAACATCCCTAAATTCACCTCTAAGCAGGCAGAGTTGGAGAGATTTCATTTAAAGACCTGACTCACTGTGAGTCTATTTCAGTGAGTCATCCAGATGGTAGTTCTAAGTAACCTCACCCTGGGCAGAAGTATCAGCTTTAAACTGAGTCTCTCCTGGGTCATTTGGATGGTACAGTAGGCTGCTGGGCTTCGGCAACCTGTAGGGCTATTGGCAGCCCACTTGATTTGAACATCCCCCCTTTCCTCCTTTTTTGCCTGTCTCTGCTGCTTTTTTTTTTT